AGCCTAGAAGAGAAATTCTCTTTGACTAGTTATAGTAATAAAATGGGTAGGATCTATTGTGTACACCAGATACCCAATGGTTATTCCTGGAGTTTTTCTTCATCTTTTTTGTTGCAGTAGTTACATAGAAAAGGGAACGAGGGAGGCAAGGATAAAAATAAATACGAAATAAAAATAGTTTGGGAAAAAAATAAGGCTAAGTTTTCCTTTCCTGGTTTCTTTATTCCTGATAATATAACTAAAATCTTCTTAAGATAAAAAATTAAGAAAGCAAGTAAATTTCTACAGATTTGGTTTGAGCAAGATATTAAATTGTGTGTACATTAAAAAATGGAAGCTTTGGGCTTTTTAAAGGTAAAGTGACTGCATATTGGCAAGAAAATGTTTATAAGTTCCTTATTATTGAGGGACTGAGATTATACCTTTCATTTGATTCAAATAATAACTAGCAAAGAGATGAGAGCTTGTTACCATGGGGGACCACTTAGAAAGTGGAAGGATATTCAGGATTATGTTCTTTACATTTAGGCAATTTAAGGGAGAGTCTCAACAATCCACATGACACCCTCTTCTTAAATCATTCCTATACCCTCTGCTGAAAAAAGATAGTCCACTAAACTCTACTCTTTTTTTCTTATAAACTACCATAGACACGAACATCACATTTGATATTTACTAGAAAAAAAATTATTTTTCTTCTGTAACATTATGAGCCTTTCCCCCTACAAAATATGTTTTATTTAATCTGCATTGCAAATTTAACTGGTAATTCATCTCTTAGTCACTCATTTAAGTCATAGATATCTGCTGAAAATATCAGTCAACCAGCCTGAAAGCATTCTTCTCATGGGGGAGGTAGAATATAAAAGTAGTTACTTTTTTATCCTCTGTAAAATACATTATTTTTGAATTTCACTTATGTTCCTTAAATTTTTAAGTAAAAAATTTCAAATTATATCATAATAATTCAACATTTCAAAATTTAGTCACCCACAAGAGACATCTAGCTTTAATTATCTACACTAATAAAAGAGAAACATGGTAATTGGCATATGACCGCTACCCTTTTCATTGGCTAATCAGCGAGATATGCAAATTAACTGTCAGCCAAGATGGTGGCTGGCAGCCAGGCAGCTTGAAACTAACATGAGGCTTGCTTGCCTCAGTGTTGGAGGAAACCAACGTTCCCCA